GTGGATAGCGGCCGAGCTGAGAGACCACCCCCTGCGCACCCCCTGTGGTGTCGAGACAGTGCCACGCCTGCTAGGCTTTGCGACAGTGTCGTGGATAGCGACCGAGCTGAGAGACCACCCCCTGCGCACCCCCTGTGGTGTCGAGAAAGTGCCACGCCTGCTGGGCTTTGCGCCAGTGTCGTGGATAGCGGCCGAGCTGAGAGACCACCCCCTGCGCACCCCCTGTGGTGTCGAGAAAGTGCTACGCCTGCTAGGCTTTGCGGCAGTGTCGTGGATAGCGGCCGAGCTGAGAGACCACCCCCTGCCCACCCCCTGTGGTGTCGAGAAAGTGCCACGCCTGCTAGGCTTTGCGCCAGTGTCGTGGATGGCGGCCGAGCTGAGAGACCACCCCCTGCGCACCCTCTGTGGTGTCGAGAAAGTGCTACGCCTACTAGGCTTTGCGACAGTGTCGTGGATAGCGGCCGAGCAGAGAGAACACCCCCTGACGCACCCACATTTGTGGTTGTCGAGTAAGTGCCTCGCCTGCCAGCTTTGCGCCAGTGTCGTGGATAGAGGACGAGCGAGAGACCACCCCCTTGCGCAGCCCCCTGTGGTGTCGAGAAAGTTGCCAACGCCTGCTAGGCTTTGCGCCAGTGTCGTGGATAGCGGCCGAGCTGAGAGACCACCCCTGCGCACCTCGTGTGGTGTCGAGAAAGTGTCACGCCTGCTAGGCTTTGCGCCAGTGTCGTGGATAGCGGCCGAGCTGAGAGACCACCCCCTGCGCACCCCCTGTGGTGTCGAGAAAGTGCCAGGCCTGCTAGGCTTTGCGCCAGTGTCGTGGATAGCGGCCGAGCTGAGAGACCACCCCCTGCGCACCCCGTGCGGTGTCGAGAAAGTGCCACGCCTGCTAGGCTTTGCGCCAGTGTCGCGGATAGCGGCCGAGCTGAGAGACCACCCCCTGCGCACCCCCTGTGGTGTCGAGAAAGTGCCACGCCTGCTAGCCTTTGCGCCAGTGTCGTGGATAGCGGCCGAGCTGAGAGACCACCCCCTGCGCACCCCCTGTGGTGTCGAGAAAGTGCCACGCCTGCTAGGCTTTGCGCCAGTGTCGTGGATAGCGGCCGAGCTGAGAGACCACCCCCTGCGCACCCCCTGTGGTGTCGAGAAAGTGCCACGCCAGCTAGGCTTTGCGACAGTGTCGTGGATAGCAACCGGGCTGAGAGACCACCCCCTGCGCACCCCCTGTGGTGTCGAGAAAGTGCCACGCTTGCTAGGCTTTGCGCCAGTGTCGTGGATAGCGGCCGAGCTGAGAGACCACCCCCTGCGCACCCCCTGTGGTGTCGAGAAAGTGCCACGCCTGCTAGGCTTTGCGCCAGTGTCGTGGATAGCGGCCGAGCTGAGAGACCACCCCCTGCGCACCCCCTGTGGTGTCGAGAAAGTGCCACGCCTGCTAGGCTTTGCGCCAGTGTCGTGGATAGCGGCCGAGCTGAGAGACCACCCCCTGCCCACCCCCAGTGGTGTCGAGAAAGTGCCACGCATGCTAGGCTTTGCGCCAGTGTCGTGGATAGCGGTCGAGCTGAGAGACCATCCCCTGCGCACCCCCTGTGGTGTCGAGAAAGTGCCACGCCTGCTAGGCTTTGCGCCAGTGTCGTGGATAGCGGCCGAGCTGAGAGACCACCCCCTGCGCACCCCCTGTGGTGTCGAGAAAGTGCCACGCCTGCTAGGCCTTTGCGCCAGTGTCGTGGATAGCGGCCGAGCTGAGAGACCACCCCCTGCGCACCCCCTGTGGTGTCGAGAAAGTGCCACGCCTGCTAGGCTTTGCGCCAGTGTCGTGGATAGCGGCCGAGCTGAGAGACCACCCCCTGCGCACCCCCTGTGGTGTCGAGAAAGTGCCACGCCTGCTAGGCTTTGCGCCAGTGTCGTGGATAGCGGCCGAGCTGAGAGACCACCCCCTGCGCACCCCGTGTGGTGTCGAGAAAGTGCCACGCCTGCTAGGCTTTGCGCCAGTGTCGTGGATAGCGGCCGAGCTGAGAGACCACCCCCTGCGCACCCCCTGTGGTGTCGCGAAAGTGCCACGCCTGCTAGCCTTTGCGCCAGTGTCGTGGATAGCGGCCGAGCTGAGAGACCACCCCCTGCGCACCCCCTGTGGTGTCGAGAAAGTGCCACGCCTGCTAGGCTTTGCGCCAGTGTCGTGGATAGCGGCCGAGCTGAGAGACCACCCCCTGCGCACCCCCTGTGGTGTCGAGAAAGTGCCACGCCTGCTAGCCTTTGCGCCAGTGTCGTGGATAGCGGCCGAGCTGAGAGACCACCCCCTGCGCACCCCCTGTGGTGTCGAGAAAGTGCCACGCCTGCTAGCTTTGCGCCAGTGTCGTGGATAGCGGCCGAGCTGAGAGACCACCCCCTGCCCACCCCCTTTGGTGTCGAGAAAGTGCCACGCCTGCTAGGCTTTGCGCCAGTGTCGTGGATAGGGACCGCGGTGAGAGACCACCCCCTGCGCACCCCCTGTGGTGTCGAGAAAGTGCCACGCCTGCTAGGCTTTGCGCCAGTGTCGTGGATAGCGGCCGAGCTGAGAGACCACCCCCTGCGCACCCCCTGTGGTGTCGAGAGAGTGCCACGCCTGCTAGGCTTTGCGCCAGTGTCGTGGATAGCGGCCGAGCTGAGAGACCCCCCCTGCGCACCCCGTTGGTGTGGAGAAAGTGCCACGCCTGCTAGGCTTTGCGCAGTGTCGTGGATAGGGACCGCGGTGAGAGACCACCCCTGCGCACCCCCTGTGGTGTCGAGAAAGTGCCACGAACTGTGCTGTGCTGTGCTGAGCTGAGCCGTGCTGAGCTGTGCTGAGCTGTGCTGAGCTGTGCTGTGTGCTGAGCTGAGCTGAGCTGTGTGCTGTGCTGAGCTGAGCTGTGCTGTGCTGTGCTGTGATGCTGCTGTGCTGTGCTGTGCTGTGCTGAGCTGTGCTGTACGAAGAGTGAGGTGTGTGTCGCGGGTGCGGCGCGGCAGGGAAGAAAACCAGAACCCCACGAAGCATGTGGGGAACAAAAAGTGGCATAACCATAAAAACTCGGAGGTCCGCGCGGATTTCTCGGATCGGCGCTGGACCCCCCTCCCTGGCGCGCGGAGCGCGCCAGGGCCGGCGCCGGAGGCGCCGCCGGGGGGCCCCAGCGCCGATCCGAGAAATCCGCGCGGACCTCCGAGTTTTATGTTTATGTCACTTTTTGATCCCCTAATTCTAACACGTGCGGCCGCGGCTCAGTGGCCCTTCGTGGCCTCTGCCGGCCTTTGAAAGGATTATATGGGCGGTCTCTCTAGTGGCCTCTCGTGGCCTTCCAGAAGCCTTTGGTGGCCTTTGGCGGCCTTTCGCGGCCTCTACTAGCCACTACAGGAGGAGGAGGAGGAGGAGGAGGAGGAGGTGGAGGAGGAGGAGGAGGAGGAGGATGAGGGGAGGAGGAGGAGGAGGGAGGAGGAGGAGGAGGAGGAGGAGGAGGAGTAGGAGGAGAGGAGGAGGAGGAGGAGGAGGAGGTAGGAGGAGGAGGGAGGAGGAGGAGGAGGAGGAGGAGGAGGAGGAGGAAGAGGAGGAGGAGGAGGAGGAGGAGGAGGAGGAGGAGGAGGAGGAGGGAGGAGGAGGAGGAGGAGGAGGAGGATGAACTTCCAAAATGACCCACTTATGGTGAGGCTCGCGCGTGGACGCGCACAAGAGCGGTGCCCTGGAGTCCCCCCTACACCCCCCCTCCCGGGCACAAGCACCCTGGTGTTGAGTCGGGCGTGTCCCCCTACAGGGGGATTTTCGACGAGAAATTAAAAATACAAAAAAAAAGACTCCCAAATGGTCAACATATACTCCCAAAATGGTCCCCAGATTTTTTTCAACTATTTTTGAATATACCCCCTGCAGAGGGACAGGCCCGACTTAACCCTGGTGCCCAGCGCGGCCTTTGCAGGCTCGCGTGGGCGCTCGGGAGAGGAGGCAAGGCAAGGAGGGCAGAAGACGCAGCCACGGGGCGCGGAATGAGGCTTGAATGGGGCAAAAATGTCCCGGCGCAACATTCATCGGCATACGGTGGGCTCGTGCGGCGTCGGCGCGCGCAAAGGTTTGTGACACCGCGTCTATCGTTAAACCTTGAACCGATCGCGGGCCCGATCGTTCAAGGTTGGATTCTGTCGGGTCCAGTGGCGTTACCGTCCATCGGTGCTTCCGCGTCGCCAAATTCAACTTTGAACGCCTTCGCCAGCGTCTCAGAGCGCACCAATGCCGCATGAACCTACAGTACCATCGCAACGGCAGGGTACGTATGCGGGCTTCCTCTTGGAGGCGGCAACGACTGATTCGTGGTGCATGACCTGGCGTCGAAGGTAGCTGGTAAATATATGCCCGACGTGATCCAGGCCTGCCTCACTGCAAGAGTGGTGAAGATCCTGAGGCAGAGGGGGGGGGGCGATTGGGAACGTCCCTTGTTTGCCCAGTCTCGGCCGGGACTCTGGGCGCGAAGTTGGCCAGGTGGTGGGCAACACATGCCACAGATACGCCCGTACTCCATATGGCGATGATTCGTATGTCGTTTTGGAGGGGTGCAGAGCGCGACCATCCCTGTTCGACTCGACGATGCGGCAACTGCAATGCGAATCCCATCCGGCGATGCTCCGCGCAATGATACTCGGACTCTTGAGGGTCTGCGTCAGGGCTGGCGGGACGAAGAAATCCTCTTCGATTTCTTCCCAGACTTCGGGGGTCCAGACTTGTCTCGCGCCGTGGACCCCCAGAGGTCATCTCGACCCCTTCCCTAGGACCCCTTCCTTCTTTGGGACCGCTGCTCGTTCCTGGGACGGCCCTGGGGCCCGGAAGCGGCCCCCAGAGGCCGACAGTGGTGGCACACCTCCTGCGCGATCTCTGTGGGCCGCCGAAGGTATGGGTCCTCCTCCTCCTCCTCCACCTCCTCCCTTCTCCTCCTCCTCCCTTCTCCTTCCTTCTTCTCCTCCTCCTCCCCAGAAGCGCCCCGAGGGACCCTCGCTGTGAGGGGGCCCCCACGCCCCGGGCCTGGTACGTCGTGCTGGAGATCATGACGCCGACGCCGTACATCTGAGGGGGGGGGGAGGATGCCGAGGAGCAGCAGTCGTGTCTGCGGGGAGCGATCCAAACATCTGTAGCTTTTCACGCAGAGCGCAATGGCGATGCCATTGCCTTACGTGTTTCCGCCTAGTACTCAGAGAACGCGTGCTGTGATACGTCATAATGAAATTGCACCAGCGCGTCGCTACCATCTGAAAACTGCCATGGGTGTCCAGCCAGCTGTACGGGGCATTTCTTGGACATGGCGGCGTTGACCTCCTGAAGTCCATTGGCGTGGCAACAGGTCCACACAGACGGTGGCGGTCCGTTACTCCATATCCCTCATCAGTTGGCCCCCTGGGCTGGTTCTTGAAAACGCCCTTTGGAAGAGGGGGGGAGTATTATTAGGGGCCGTTCCCCGAAGCTGAAGCATGCGAGGAGACGCTTTCTTTAGGCACCTTTCGGGGAACGGGCAAGCGGGCGGCTATCGACACATGTTTCCAGCTTCGATCCCGTCTCCGCGAAAAAATACTATGATCTACATGTTTGCGAGTTTGAATCGGGCGTTGCCTTTGTGATGTTCCAATTCCCACAGAGCTGTTTTTTCTGTCCATTGCTGCGAAACAGTAAAGATGATCAGCGGCAGCATGTAGCCACGAGCGCGAATGCCAGTGTACAGAGTAGGTGTCCCGAGCTCATCCTCTTCTAAGGCAGACGAACTTGCGGGCACCCATGAAACAGTTCATGCTGGGCAACCGGCGTTTTGAGGGAACAGCACGCCACCGCATGGTATGGGGAGGCAAATTCCGAGTGGCCCGCACGCGCCTGGATGGAAATGCTGGACCATTTTCTTAGCGCTGGAGACAAATTCCGGCCCACCGCCCCTGGAGGCAAGGCCTGGGCAACGACAGTATCACCACCGCCATCACTTTCATCGCAAAGATCATACCTGCCATTGCTGGCACTAGTTTGCATCATCATCGCCAACACCACACCCTCGTTGTCATCGTCATCCTCCCCGCCGTCACCACCGTTGTCATCGCTGGGATTGGCAGGGCTGCCACCATTCACACCATCATCATCACCATTAATATATGGCCACCATCACCATTCATCTCATTCTCAACTCGCCTGCTGAGGGGGGCGGCGGGTTATGAAGGCGCCAACCGTGGAGAGGAGACTGGAAATATACGGCGCCGGAGTAGGGAGACAACAAGATGGATATAACATGCTTCCAATAACGCCAAACTTTGCATCCATGTCGTAATCGGGCGCATCTGCCTGAGCAGTGGTACTCCGCTCCTCAACAACGTCTTGATGCATCAACATGTATTACATGCAGGATGCCCGTCAACTCAACATCGTATATCTTACAGGAAATCTGTCCTGCTCTCTCCTCCCCGTTCTCCCGCTCCTGGGCTTCCCCCTGGGCCGCGCCAGCCTCGACAAGTCAATGCTTAGAGGCAGGACGCAAGGCACTAGGACAATAGAGGGCGAGGAAGAACATGAGAATGGGGCTGGAACAGGAGGGAGAAGATCAAAACCTGGAGGAGGATGCGGGCAGGGAGGATTAACACAGGGATAAGAACGAACATGGTTATGAGACGGGCGAGGGGGATAGTGATGAAGGGACGGAGAGGGAGGAGCAGAAGGAGGAGGAATATGAGGAGGAAGAGGAGGAGAAGGAGGAGGAGGAGAAGGAGGAAGAGGAGGGAGAGGAGGAGGAGGAGGAGGAGGAGGAATAGGAGGACCAATGTAAACCCAAGAGTCATGAACGATGTTGTCATACCTTCTCCCTCCAAGCTCCCTCTTCGCAGGCCCAACAAAGGTTCATTACCACTGAGGGAACTGCCCCGTTGAAAATTACCGCCTGAAAATCCTGACGCATGCCAAGACACTATTCTCGGGACTCCAACGCCACGGATCAACCTGATTGTTGGATCTTGACGATCCTGAACCGTGCCAGACAGCCATTCCTGTGATTTCAACAACGCGAATCATCAACAATGCGAACCAACGTAACTGTTGCACCCTCATAATCATTATTTTTCCCACATGTCATTTCCTGTACGTTGACCACGGGAACGCGTGAAACTCTTGCAATTTCAAAATACGAATGAGCGCGGCGCTAAAACGATAATCACATTTTGAAAACGACCCGCCCTCAATCCGTGAAATTCTTGCACGTGGCTGAGACGAATGTGCGTGGCGCTAAAGCGAGAACTACATGTTGAAAACGACTCGCCCTCAATCCGTGAACGGTTTGCAAATATTTAGAACGAATGTGCGCGGCGCGACGGCAAGAATCACATTTTGAAAACGACCCGCCCTCAATCGGATAAGCTCTTTCAATTTTACTAAACATCGTAAACCGAACTTGCGCGGCGCTGAGGCGAGAGCCACATTTTGAAAACCACCCGCCCTCAACCCGTGAAACGATTGCCTGTGTTTAAAACGAATGTGCGCGGCGCTAGGGCGAGAAC